CTTCAGCAACTCTCCTAATGTGATAAAGAGTGCACCTCAGAGTAGAAATGTTACATAAGCTTTAACTCTGTAAGACATAGAGTTGAAAGAGAAGTGATTGCACTGAAAATCCATTTTATTTTGAAGCTTGAAAATTATTTTAATAAACATTTAAATATAACACAACAGGGAAATTTATTACAAATACATGCAGAGTTATGAAGAACAGGACTCTATCATGTTACTTATGAGCCTAGCTGGAAACCTGCAGGCATTACTTTAATACAGATACCAAATAAGTGGATCTTAGCCCAGGACATTTTTCTTCTGAATGATAAGTTCATGTGTATTGCAACAGTAAAATGTTCTTCTAATGATCACTGATTTGTGGAAGAGTACTATTTACTTCTGTCTATGTTTGAGGGGAAAAATGTTAACTTCAAATTTGCTTTCATTTTATTCATCTGTTAGCTTTTTGATTATCAGATTTTACTGAAAAGCGGTAGATAGGGAATAAGCAGGAAAAGTTTTATGCCTCCTCTAGAGGACAGTTAATTCAGTAGAAGCAGCAGGAAGGAAGAGCTAAATCCAGAAGAAGTAGTAAAATTTAAATGCTGCAGCACTCAGCATTAACTTTCAGCATCACCTCTTTTTGTGCTGATCTCTATTTCTGTGAAGGGAAGGGCTTTCAGTTTCTTGGGAACCCCAGCACTGGCATAAAGTACAAAGGGGTGGTAAAAGCTCAACCATGCCATGAAAATCTCATTTAGGAAGGGGAGCTCCATGTTTTGTGTAGCAGTTGTGTGATTAGAATACCAAGGCAAGTGTAAAACATGGATTCAATTTTTTCTTTATCTCCTGTCTCACTGTAAAATTCTCTGTTTACCAACATACAAAAGACTGGCTGTTAAGCCAGCCTGATCTTTACAAAGCAATTCCATTTTTTGCAGACTGCTGGACTACAGAGAGTAAGACAGAGTGAGGATATCTATATAGCCTCCACTTATGGGGTATGATACCTGGGCTGAAGACCCTGTGGCAATAAATGGTTTTATATTGATACCTAACAGTCATTTGGTGAGGCTGAGTCCCTAAACAGTGACTGATACACAAGCTGGGACTTCTGATTTCTCTCCCAGTATCCTAACCAGTAAGCTGGACAGCCATGCTTGATGCTTTGTCTCTCCTCCTCCTCATCTTTCCCAGCCCATAGAGGTAGCCCATGAAAGGTGGAGCAAATTCAATATGAGTGAAACAGAGGGTCTCCAGCTGCCCCACATGGCATATGTAGTCCACTGTGTTCAACTGCGTTATTCTGCAGTTTAGTAATTAATTGAATGCTAAACAGCCGGATTCAGGTGTGGCTTGAGACAAAAGCCAGCAGTTTATACCTCCCTCAACACTTCAGAAGAAGAAAGTCTTCCAGCAGGAGGACTAAAGTCACTGTATTTTTCCTTGATGGTTCCCTACATGGGAAAGCTCAGATGGCATCACCCTTCTTGCCCAGGGACAACATGAATCTTCTTCTACCATTCCAGATCCGCTTTATGTACTGTCAAACCAAGGGTTGCAAAGAGAATGTGGACTTTTTGGTGAGGAAGAGAAGTAAATAGACATCATAGTGACAGAGTGGGGAAGTCAAACTGTCTTCAGCAAATACAACTAAAACATGGAGATATTTCTGAAACACCTTGTTGCCATGGATAAAAAGCCATGTATTTGAGGGAGACTGCATGGTTATATTTTAAACAAAGTATTTTTAAAATTTAATCTGTGGATGAATCATTTCTAGATATAATTTAAATATATAGGAAGGGTGAGATCCCTATTTCACTGAAATCAATAGGAATTTTATTATTTAATAGGATCATGATTTCTTTTGCAGATTGCAATTCTCTTTAGTTCAGTGGAAAACCAGAACATTCCATGTGTTCAGATGCTATTAGTATTTTTAGATGTGTCATTTTAGGAAAGCTTAAAGGAATCATTGGGAATTCTCTGGGAATTTTGTGTAAAATATCAAGTCTGGCTCAGGAGTGGGACAGTTTAACTTAAACTAGAAAAAATTGACCATTCAGTTTTCCAGCCTCTGAACATTTATGTTTAGCATAAATAAAAAGTTTTCATAGCTTTTATTCTTGCTTTGAATTTTTTTTACACTTTGGAACTCTCTACAACTACCTGAAAGGGTGTTGTGGCGACATGGGCATTGGTCTCTTCTCCCAAGTAACTAATAATAGGACGAGAGGGAATGGCCTCAAGTTGCAACAGGGGAGGTTTAGATTGGATATTAGGAAAAATTTCATTACTGAGAGAGTGGTCAAGCATTGGAACAGGCTGCCCAAGGAGGTGGTGGAGTCACTATCTCTGGAAGTATTCAAAAAATGTGTGGATGTGGCACTTCGGGACATGGTTTAGGGGGCATGGTGGTGTTGGGTTAACGGTTGGACTTCATGATCTTGAAGGTCTTTTCCAACCTTAACGATTCTGTGATTCTGTGGAAGAAAAATGTCATCTAAAGAAATTTAAATGTTCCATTATTATAAAATAGAGTTGATAAGAATTAGTGTGCTTTGTATTTCTGTTTCAGAGAGGTTTATTTTGCAATCTCAAAGAAGGCAAGGAGCAAAATTATTTAACAGACTCTACAAGCCATTTCCAAAAGATAATTTGAATAAACGTATCAGCATAGTCTTGCCTTAACTCCATTGGTCATTTATATTCAGATAAATCACACAAAGTCGCTTGGAAAAAGAACCTCCAAATAAATCCTTGCTGGAGTTGAAAATATTTTTAAATATTGGAGTTCTTGAGTCCTCTGTGTTACCAGCTTTATTAAATCACAGTTCTGCTGCATCTGTTTCCATGTCAATGCCTGTTAGACATGTTATTTGAGCTCAAAGTCATCACGCTCCAAGCTATTCTGAAATCATCTGCAGAGTTTCGTTTAGTATTTGAAGCTGAAAATTTACCTTTAGTAAACCAAATCTTCCTCTCCCACAGATGTTTTTATTCAGTCAGCCAATGCAAGCTCCTCACAGGGTATTGCTAAGAGTTTCCTCAATGCACGCTCCTCAAGTCAAACTCCCAGGTTTTTATTCATAAATTGGTTTGTGTTTTTAATCTTTGCGTAGGCTGTCCAGGAGCTGTGAGTAATCCTGAAACATGCTGAGACACTAAATTTGTATAACCTGCATTTCTCCTACAGATTTCTATATTTACAGTCAGTGCTTAGTATCTTCTTCATTCCCTCCCTTTCTCTACTCCCATTAACTTCCTCATCTTACCTTAGATGTTTTACCAAGAGGTTTCCAAGTGTGCTGTGTAGACCTCAGACATAGTTACGGGAAGGCACTGGAGCAATAGAAGATAAACTTGGCTTGAGGACAGGAAGCTTGATACATTCATCTGTATAAACCCGAGTTTGTGTTTGCCAGGCTTTTAAAGTTAAATCACGGCATTTGCCAACTGACTCAGCCTGCAACCCAGTGCCTAGTTGAGCTGGGGATATTTCACAGACTGTCACAGCTTTGTGTATAATTCATAAATAAACTTTTATGACTTGCAATTTTACAGGGCACAGATCTGGAAAATGAATTCCCTAGAGTGCCTTCTCAAAAACTGCCTCGTGTTCCCATGTGTTAGTAGTTTTCCCATAACATGCCCTGGGAAGTATACCACTGGTTTAGTCACTTTGCAGGCAAGTGTACCTTGCTCTCTAATGACAGTGGGTTTTAGTTTTGTGAACCTGACAATGATTTGATCCTCATATCTCTGTGACTGAGGATTTAGGTAAGTGTGACATGGCTAGGATTGAAGCTTCCTTTTCATAGAATCATAGAATCATTTAGGTTGGAAAAGACCTCCAAGATCATCAAGTCCAGCTGTTAACCTACACTGCCAAATCCACCACTAAACCATGTCCGTAAGTGCCACATCTACATGTCTTCTAAATACCTCGAGGGATGGTGACTAACCACTTCCCTGGGCAGCCTGTTCCAATGCTTGACAACCCTTTCAGTGAAGAAATTTTTCTTAATATACAATCTAAACCTCCCCTGGCGCAACTTGAGGCAGTTTCCCCTTGTCCTATCACTTGTTACTTGGGAGAAGAGACTGATGCCCACCTCGTTACAACCTCCTTTGAGGTAGTTGTAGAGAGTGATAAGGTCTCCCCGAGCCTTCTTTTCTCCAGGCTAAACAACCTCAGTTCCCTTTATATATGTCTGGCTGATGATGTAAGTAATACAAGCATTATGTAATAGGCAGTGTGGTGTCGCAGTTGGTTTTAACCAAAGCTTCTGGTGTTAGTAAAAGGGTAATAATTTCTACCCTGTCCACATATTTCCGCTGCTGGGTCTTCTGCTAGTCCTCACACACGTGTGCATGTAAAAGCAACTAGATTAAGGCACTGATCTGCCTGAAAACAAATACTATTTTTGCCGAGTTATCTTTCTGCCTGACTAGTTTTTTCATATCATGATACAAAGAGATACTTCGTGGTAGAAAATGTATTTTTTTCCTTTTCTGATAGTACTGTAGGTATTGAAATCAATCCCCAATGCCAGCTTCACGTAGCATTACATTTGATTCAGAGTCATACACAGTTCTCCTGTTCTGATCTAACCCTGTACAAGTATTTCATAGCATATTTTTTAATATTTTAAAAATTAAAAAAAAATCTGTAGCCAAACAGCTGGTATGCATGTGCTTGAGAAGATGTCTGTCCACTGCATAAATACTTCATTATTATAGTTCCAGCATACTGAAGAACCAGCAGCCTATTTGAATTCCAATGCTGTAATTTATTTCAAGTGTCTTATTTAGTCCATAAATACCATGTTTGATTTCCTCACTGGACATAAAGACATTATTTAATATAGGCATTTCTCTGAATTTCATACAACTTTCTTAGATCTAAAAGCCATTAGAGACAATTGTCATGCTTAGGTCATTTGTTGTCTCAATATATGCATTATGTTTTGATGAGATTCCTCACCCTTTCTTTTCTTGATCTCTAGTATAATATACAAACAGATCAGTACAGAAGTTGTGATAACGTCTCTGCCAAATCATCAGATAGTGATGTCAGTGATGTGTCAGCCATTTCCCGAACCAGCAGTGCCTCACGCCTCAGCAGCACAAGTTTTATGTCAGAGCAATCTGAACGCCCTCGGGGCAGAATCAGGTGAGTTCTCAGTGCAGCTTCAATTGTATGACACCCCCTCTTTCATTTAGGCCAAAATACAACCAGAAATTATTAAAATTAGAAGACTGCAACATAAGAATTTATGAAAATTGTCTATGCACATATAAACTCTTCCATTGCTAGGCTAAGATGACAGCATTTTTGCAGCTGTACATCTAAAACAGAAAGCAAACTTCCCATGAAGAGATGACAGATTAATGTATTTGTGGCAAGTGGAACTTGAGCACGCACTTTCATCTCATTGATGGCTATGAACTAGTTTAATCTATATGCCAATAAGATATTACAGCAGAAACATTACTGGATCTTTCATCTAAAGAATTTTCTTTCATAAAAGCTCTGTTTTTCCTTCTTTCAATCTGCACATTTATTTCCCTACCTTCCTGCCTTTATTTTACTGTTTTCCTGCATATGATAAATTACTAATTTTGAAACAAGTATTTGTGTAGTAATTTTGATATCTCTGGTTCAAGTGTAGTTTAATTCACTTGCATTATCAATAATCAGATATCTCTTTCATCCTTGGTAATTTGTTCTCTGTTTAGTGCTTTTATAGATACACAAATTGGTTCCGGTCTCCATTTAACTTGATGACACGCACAGCTATAATGGCTTGGTAATCTCTGATGAACTCTTAAAAATTTGACTTTGAATGTTACAACACATGAGAAGAATTAGGAACTATAAAAAATATCCCTGTAGAAGATATCAGACTGATAAAAGTCTGGATGGCATAATTTAGTACTTCAGAACATTTCCAGGCAGACTCACTATCAGAGAAGTGCTGCAGGCTTTTTGATCTGTTCATGGAACGGAAAAGTGTGTTAGGGAAAGTCAGAAACTGGCCTCTATGTGTGAACGAGCTCCACCTCATGTTTTTGTTAAGGGAAGTTCACAAGGGTATTCAAAGTCATGTTTCTGATCGGTGAATTTATAACCTGACAGTTGCAGTAATCCACAATCCAGCAGAACACTGCGGTGGAACTGGAAATGTGTTTGAAGTTATTCAAGTGTTTAAAGTTATTTCAGTTCATGTGTTTAAATGCTGCATTTCATTACGTCCTAGCTTTTCAGTGCTTGTCTCTTACAGAGGGCTTTCGTCATACCAAATTGCCTGTATTTTCTCAACATTGAATTTTCTCAACTAGGCCCTGTCACAGTGTCTTTGTCAGGTTGAACAAAATAGGATATTTTCCCATAAATATCTCTGTGTTGAACAGATTTTATCAGAAATGTTCCTTGGGTTCAGAATGTCTGGTCACAAATATCAGAACTAGGAGAATCACTAACCTCATGTGAGGCTGGAAAGGGGAAAACCTAGGGTCAAAACCTTGCTCTCATTGAACCTCTTGCATTCTAACAAGGATCAGAGCACCTTGGGTACAGGATTAGCCAATTTAGTGTACAAAACCAAGTGTCTGCAATGGGAGCTCCACTTCAGCTTCGCTCAGTACTTCAGGTAGTACTTCTACAGTTAACAAAATTTATAGTTATACAGTGCAGCTCATTTGGTAGAAATATGAGGAAAAAATTAATAGATTCATAAATTACTCATAACTTCCAATATTTTTCTTCTAAGATGGCAGTGGTTTTGGTCCCCTGAAAGACCTGTTAAAATAAGTGGGAGATGTCTTTAGTCAATTCCTTGTGTAGCTTGCTTATTACATAGAAATGAAGAGTTAACTGGGGGAAAGGGTTGATCGTATTATGAACTATTTTTTCAGAGTGAGATTTGTGCTGTTTAACTTTAGCCTTAAAAACTATGTGTTTACAGCAGAATTCATGTAAAAATAGTTTTTTGTTAAATTATTTGTCTAACTTCCCTAAGTCACCATTAAAAAGAAGAAAACACCTATTATCTCAGATGGTTCACCTCATCCAGATAGATGTCAAAGACAGGTGAATTGTCCTTTTCTAGCATTAATTATTGAAGGAGCCCTAGATGACTTGTTTAGATTGGTTGTTTTAGTTTTAGACATCTAAAATTAAGTTGAATGGATTCTTTCTCTTAATTACTAGTATAATTAGTGTTTCTTTAAGTTCAAGGGATTAGAAAATTGAAGTTCAAGTTTGATTAGTAATTTGAAGTTTAAATTTTATTTTTGCCTCCAAGGAACCTCATGTTAACATATATTAAGTGGGATGGGATGGGATGGGATGGGAAGGGATGGTCGAGCAGGAGGGGCAAGGAAAAGAGCATTTTTTAATTTCCTGTATTCTGTCTTACTGAAATCACATATCCACGATCATCTTCATTTGGAAGCGTGTCATCCCAGTGGCCATGGCAAGAGTGTGAGTGTAATGTTAGTATTTAGAGAGAAAGTTCATTGAACTGCCTTTTTTATGCACCTGCTTTTGCTCTCCAGATACCTTCTGGAGATGAGAGCAGTGAAGAATCTAGTAAGCATACAGAAACTTAAAGGAGATGGCCCAGTTTTAGCCACCTCACTAAACTAAGTCAGTCATTCAACTAGTATCTTTAGGTGCCTTTTGTATCCAGAAGAAGAATACATAAATTCAGAATACACAAGCAAGATTCCTGGTCTGCATCACCTTTGGAAAAGGTGTCTGTCTCTTTCTCCATTGAGTAGAGGATAATGAATCCTAGGTCCATTGAGCAGCAAGCTGAGTTAATTAAATTAAATGCAGAAATGTGACTGGAGAGTACTCCAGAGTTCAGATTAGTAAGTTGAAGTGAAACTGTGTTCCTCTAACATTTACACATGAGCTAAAAACCACTGGTTAGTTATTCATATTAAGAGTTGTGGTGTCAAATTTCCAAACATGAAGTGTGCCAGCTTAACACAGCAGTAGTTTTAGTTAATATTGTTAGTCACTACAACCCAATCATTCCTCATATTAATGCATCTGTGAAAAGGGTTATAAAATAAGCTCCTAGACATATGAAAATATAAGATATCGTCCTCTTTAGGGCTATCATTAAGAAAGCAAAATTTTGTTGTAATTTTGTACAAAATAACATTACTTTTAAATGTCAGAAGGTCAGAGGTTTCAGGTCATAGAGAGTGTAGTTTATATCCACTAACTTCACCACCAGTTCTGCCAGCACAAACAGCTTCCTGACTTTTCCTCCCACATCCTAATAGAGGAAAGATCCTTAAAAAAGCTAGCTAATGCCTTTTCCCTGTCACTCCAGGCAGAATCAACCAATCTCTCTTCTATCTCACTTTTGAAGGTTTGAGATTCTATCATTTCAGATAATGCATTCTATTACCCTATGTTTATAAATAGTTATTTCTTTATTCAAGCAGTAAAGATTTTAAAACCTCGAAGCATATCTCTCTCTTGTCGCTTTCAGGTGTATGTGTATTAACTGTAAATGTGTAACAATTCATGGTCTTTTTCACCAATTTTTAATTTTAATAACTCCAGTTACATTGTATTCAAATTAAATTGTACTTTTCATAATTACGTCTTTTATAGAATAAAACATCTCAATAGCAAGGGTAAAACCAGTTGATGCAGAACAACACAGAAATACTGTTCATGTTGTTTGAATAGCTAGATAACAGACAAGCTGTTCTTCAGGTCAAAACTCCCAAATTTAAAGTTTTGTAGTAATAGGAAACTTGAGCATGCTGAAGAAGTTAGTCACATAGGGAGAATGAAAGCAAATCTTCCCTTTCCTTTAATCAATGACAAGACTGTGTCTAAACCTTTTAAGGCAGAAGACGAATTTCATTCCTACAGTATATTTGTAATTGAATTACATGTCAGAAAGCTGTCACATAGCATGCATAGAAAATACCGTTAGTTAATCTCCAGTCTGGAGATTTTGTTGATTAACACTTCCAATAGGCTGCAAGAGGGAATTATGATTGATGCAAGTTATGAATATAAGTATATAAAATAGCTTCTTCATTTCTGATTTGTTTAGCATTTTCAGGTGGATATTATAACAAATGGCTGTGCGTGAATAAACTAGTCTGCATATGAAATTATTCCAAACATCTTTCATGTTGCTATCTTGGGAAGTCTGGTTGACTGCCATGCTCTCTAGTGGAAGTGCAGGAAAATATCAGGAATTTTTTTTCTGGGAACAAAATGTTCCCTGAATTTTGGGAACGAAGTGTTCTGGGACTTTTGACTTGAATCAGAATCAGACTTGTGAATTTGGCTTGCCATAGCATTTGGAGTTTGTGTATATTTCATGACTGAAGTCAGATTACCAGTCGTTCTTTATGGAGGTTTGCTTTCATCAGTCACAGTCTTTATGCATTCATAATACAGTCAAGCAGTGTTTTGGGCCTGTGTGTGCTACAGATGTTACTGTATATGATTCAGGAACATTTCTCACATCCTAAATGAAGCAGAAGGAAATTCTTCATGGTTTAATGCAAATGATTGATAAATAAGGATCTATGTTAAATACATGGTGATTAATCAGCACCATATGGGCTTGATCAGCCAAAGAAGGACATTTGCTCAGTTCATTGAAAAACATGCCCAATGATGTCACTGGATCATTTTTTATTAGAGGCCTGTTTATACAAAGATACCAAAGATACCTGGACTTCTTGATGAAGTCAAAGAAGGAACTGTCATGCACAGTAGAGGTGAGCTGGAGGTTTCTGTTCTGGAGGATTTAGCAAGTTGGCTACCATAAGATGTTTCACTTAAATCTGTCTGAACAAAATCTACCAAGTATATGAAAGAATAGATAACTACTTTTAAGGTGAATTTCTCTCTGTGTATCTGGATTTCCAACAAATTGTTCCTGCATTAGGAATATTACAGTTATTCCTCATTTTAAATTTGAAAATCACATCTTTACTAAGAACTGTATTTAGTGTTGTCACATCTTTAGTAAGAATTATATTTAGTATCTTCATAAATGTGTGGTATACAATGATATAATTATGTATGTGCCATATTTTCATCTGATTTTCATGCATTGCTTAATTGAATGCTTAAGTTTAATTAAAATATTTTAAATAGGCCTATGAAAGAAAGAGGAT